GTGTCTGTCTGTCCTCTCCACTGCTGGACCACTGAGTGTCTGTCTGTCCTCTCTACTGCTGGACCACTGAGTGTCTGTCTGTCTGTCAGCACCAGGACTTTATCTCATCGGTAGCTTCTGTTTTATGTTTTCATAAAGAACCTCCTGGGGCTGGAGAGATGGCTCAGCAGTGAAGAGCACTTACTGGTCTTCCAGAGGACCCAGGTTCAATTCCCAGCATCCATATGGATGGTGCCCCACAGCTTCCTCTAACTCCAGCCCCAGGGGATCTAACACAACTATTCTGGCCTTCTCAGGCACCAGGCACAGACATGGTGCCCAGGCATACAAGCCGACAAAACATAAAATAAATGAAAACAAATATAGTTTTCCCTCTCATTGCTCCCAACCTAAAGGCATGTCTTGTCCCCTCCCTGCTGTGACAGCTGGGGAGATTTGCAGACTTACAGCAGGTCAAGAAAAAATAAGACGTACATTTGTAAGCCGGACTCAGGCTGCCAAGGGAAAGGCATATTCATCACCCGGACCGTGAAAGACATCAAGCCGGGGGAGGATATGATCTGTCAGCTTTATATTTCCAAGGTACTTCCTCGCCGTGATTATGTATTTATTGCCCACAGCAGCCTCAGGCTCTGTGGGACAGAATGTGAAATGAAGTCAGTGGAAGGCAGAGGTGGAGAGGAAGCTGAGCTTGTCCTGTGCCTTGGATTTGATCAGACACAAGCTTTCTGAGTCACAGTGTCCCTCACTCACTCGCCCTTGCAGTCTCCACCACTGATCTGGCCTCACCAGGCTGACATCCCTCCCCCCCACCCCAAGTGGGTGAAAGCTTGGTTTGTAGAGGTCCCCACCTCATCTGAGAGAGCAGAGTCACCTAAGAGAGTTCATAGTCACCAGCTTCTCTCTGACTGGGGGCAGAGGACGTCACAGACCGCAGTGATAGAGCCCACTGCAGTGAGGGGTCCCTCTGGAAGTGTGGGTGGGGGCAGGGAGCCCTGGTCTCCCTAAGACAAAATGTCCGGGAACCCCTTGCAAGAAGGAGCTCTTGGAGAAGGAGCCTGGGATGTTGCCCTGGCAACCGTGTGTCCTGTCCTGGAAGGATTTCCTAGTTACTTAGTTCAATTGCTAAGACCTTAGAGAGGGCTGCTTGCCGCATTCCATAGCTCAGGAACTCAAGGCCCAGTGTGGTTCGGTGACCTCCCCGAGGTCACCTGTCAGGTCCCAGAGCTCAAATCTCTTTATCTTGCTCCCCACCCTGGGCAAGCCTACACTTGAGGCCACGAGGCAATGCTGGAGCTGGCTCCCCCAAGAATGAGGTGGGAGCGAGACACCTTCCCCTGTGACTGTCACCCCCAGACGCTCGCGTGACCTCTCTCTTTCCCACCCAGCCCTTTATCATTGACGGGTTCAAGTTTGACCTGCGGGTTTACGTGCTGGTGACCTCCTGTGACCCTCTCCGGGTCTTTGTGTACAATGAAGGCCTGGCTCGCTTCGCCACCACCTCCTACTCCCACCCCTGCACAGAAAACCTGGTGAGCTGGGGACACGCGGCCTTCCCCTCCCCCTTAGCAGGATAAACATCCTCAGGTACTGTGGAGGTGGCAGGCGTCAGATGAGCACTTACTGTGTTCCCAGTCCTTCCGGGAGCCCTCCGAGAGAGGGGTTATTAGATATCCCCGCTTTCCAGATGAGATTAAAATCTGCAGAGTATAGAGGGGACTTGTCTGGGGCCACTCAGCCAGAAAGTGGTCCATCTGGGACTTACGGCCAGGCTTTCCTGACACCAACCCCAGAACTCCAGTGCAAGGGTCCTCAAGGAGAGAAGGCCGTGGGTAGGCTTCCAATCTTCCCCCCAGTCTCAGAAAGAGTTGGAGTCTCTTATACTCCGGGCTATGGATTATCCCCGTTTACCTCCTTTACATATGTCTATAAATTCCCTTTTTCCCCATCCCTTTAAGATCCAGGGACTGTGGGAGTGGCCTGGGGTGGGGGGACAGTGCATGGAGAGGACCCAGGAGGCCCTGTGCTTCGGCCTGACCCACAGTCTGTGTCTCTCCCCAGGATGAGATCTGCATGCACCTAACTAATTATTCCATCAATAAGCACAGTTCCAACTTCATTCAAGATGCTCATTCTGGCAGCAAGAGGTAAGAGGGACGGACGCTTCCCACATCTTTCCGGGTTCTTCCCAAACCCACTGCGTCCCTGCCAGGATTTCCACCCTGGGTCACACGATCTCTGCAAAGCCGGCTTTGCCTCCCAGCCCAGAACAGACACTTCATGTCAGCTCACTCTCTGGACTGTTAATCATTACAAGGAGGCCATGCTGTAAACCCTGGGAGGCTGGGAGGAGGGAGAGAAACGCCGAGACCGTTTCCCCAGCAGAACACATACACACACCAAAACATACCTTGTTACAGTTGCCCTCTTGACGTTTCCAGATCAACAGCCTTTATTGACTGCTAGGCTGCCAAGTGAGAGGGACCTGCCAGCTGTGATTCCTCTCGGGTGTTGGTCCATTACAGATTCTCAGCTGATGTGTCATGACGCCCTGGAGTCACCTGACCCGTGCCTAGCCAACCTTCAGATTTGGGGGAAATAAGGGATTCCTGAGGGTTTGGTTCCCCGCCCCCACAAGCAGCTTCTCTATTCATGTTATTGCCTCGTCAGCCTGCATTTGAGAGGAAGGTGGACGAGTTGTATGGGGGGGGGGCAGAGATGGGGAGGCCAAAGGGAGCATCTGGGTGCCCGGCAAGATAGCAAGGCCTGTGTATTTGGTGTTTTCCTACCACACTGGCCAAGGCGTCAGCAGAGCACTCAAGGTAGGGAAGAGTGTTAGGTCCTATCTCCATTTCACAGATGAGGAAACTGAGTCTCAGAAAGGTTAAGTTGCCCAAGGTCACACCACACAGCTCGGGTTGAGCAGCTCTGTTCCCTGTGCCAATGTCACAGGGCTTGTGGGTCAGGGAGGCGTGGGTATCTTAGTACATGGACTACTCCTGGTAGAGCCTTCTTGGAAAGAGTGTGTAAGTATGGCTGGGAAGATGTTCCATCTGTGTGTGTGTGTGGTACCAGAGCTGGCCGCAAACTTGCTTGTAGTTGAAGATGTATCTTTTTATCTCCTAATCTTCTTGCCTTTAATTCCCCAAAGTGGTTTTGTTTTGTTTTGTTTTTTTTAAGACAGGGTTTCTCTGTGTAGCCCTGCCTGTCTTGGAACTCACTTTGCAGACCAGACTGGCCTCAAACTCACAGAGATCCACCTGCTTCTGCCTCCCAAATGCTGGCATTAAAGGCGTGCAGCGCTGCTGCTGCCGCCGCCGCCGCCGCCACCACCACCACCACCACCACCTGGCCTGAAAGTGTTTTTGAGACAAGTCTTGATATGTTGCTAAGGCTAGTTAGAACTGGTTGAAGCCCAGGGTAGCCTCAAATTCCCAGTCCTCCTGCCTCTGACTGAGATTACGGTTGCTTTACCGTGAGCAGCTTCGGCCACGCTCTTTCCTCGGAGTCCCAAGTTATCCGAAACTCCTGTCACTTCCTCCCACCCAGACTGTGGATGCCGTGGAGGCTCCTGCACAGGTGTCGGGGAGGCCTGCCATGTCACCCCCACTTTGACATTTGTCTGCTGAGTAAGCCCAGACAAGTCGCTTTGTCTCTGAGCCTCCATTCCTGGCTCCTAAGCCAGTGAGATAACCGACCCTGCCCGGCCCTCTTCATGGGGTCCCTGCGAGACTCAGAGGAGCCACGTTGCAGCCCAGTATTCTGGTCCTGTCAGTTTTCTTTAGTCTAAGGGGCTCTATTTGCCTGCATTTGTGAGAAATGATGTCATCTCCAGGCCATGTGGAGTGATGGACATACTGGTGCTGGGTCCTAGCACTCAGGGCGCTCTTGACTGAGGCAGGAGGATTATAAATTTCAGGCTAGCTTATATGGGATATATAGTGAGACCCTAGAGCCAGAGATAGAAACAGACAGACAGACAGAGGAAGAGAGAGAGAGAGAGAGAGAGAGAGAGAGAGAGAGAGAGAGAGAGAGAGAAAGCGCCTTAGGCTCTGATAGACAGGCAGTTATGGGGCAGCCAGATCAAAATAAAATGTGGACACTTTTGGTAACATTTTTTATTCCCCCCTGGCAGTACTGAATTAAGCTAGGGCCTCACACATGCTAAACAAGTCATGAGCTTTAGCATGGAGCCTCTGATGATGACACCCAGCTTCTCTTTCCCCTCTGACCTCCTCTTCTCTGGGTCCCTTCTCCATTGGAGCGGTCATCTGCCCCCAGGCCTCCGCCCTAGGCTCTCCTGGCTCAGTCTCTCTCCCCTAGAGGCCCATCTCTCCCCAGCTCAGCCAGTGTGCCAGAGAGAGCCTGATTTTATAACAGCCACACCCACAACCCTTTGAGCCACGCACAGATTAATCCACTTAAGAGGGCCGAGGCCTCCCGAAGGTCAGGTCTCCCAACACAACGGCGTTGGGGGCCCAAGTTTCTAACACTTGACCTTGGAGGGACATATTCAGCCGGTAATGTGTCCCGCCCTCTTCCTTTCTTTTTTTCCCATCCCTCCCTCCTCTTCCTCTTCTTCCTCCTCCTCTCTCTCGTTCTCTTTTTGAGGGCCCTCCCCATCTGCTGAGACAATCTTCTCATGCTATCTTGCCTTCACGAAGTTGGCAACTGACGCAAAGTGCGGCCCCGGCCTTGCCCCGGCCTACCCCTGGGGTTCAAGGTCAGTAGGAGCAGGACTCCAGTCAGTGGGAGGAAAAAGACAGGGAAATTGTGAGTATGGAGGGGCCCTCGACAGACACCAGATGTCTCCATCTTCCAGCGTGCCTGGCAAACACCTGGTGTTAAAGTGAATGGAATCGCCGCTGGGCATTAGGAAATTGCCAGGCAGGGTATATTCACGGTGACGGGCCCTGAGTCATCAAGAAAAGGTTACGCTGTGTTTGGTAACACGTGTTATAAGAAGTCAGGGAACTGTGTAGTCTCTTCCAGGAAATTTTATTGGCCAATTAGGCAAATTAACTGTTTTATTTTTTTTCTCCCCTAGAAAGGCTTGGCTTTTCCAACAGTCTGGAAATTCCATTTATGCACAGTGTTTCTACCTGACAAAGTGGGCAGAGAAGTGGCGTCTGTGTGGAGGGCCTTTGCTCGTCTGTCCTGACGTCAGCACATCCTGGGTGTCTCACACGTGTGACTCCTGAGGTGGTCCTCAGCCTTCCTGAGACAGAAATGGCGGTCGGTCGCACAGGCCGTCATTGCCCAGCAGTCTCTTAAATAAGCTCCTGGGCGGCAGGCCTGCGCCTTCCTTCCTGACCCTTCACTGGAGTTCACTGAAATGAGTTTTTCAAAATAATTTTTTGCCAGGCGGTGGTGGCGCACACCTTTAATCCCAACCCTCGGGAGAGGCAGGGGAATCTCTGAGTTCTAGGCCAGCCTGGTCTACAAAGTGAGTTCCAGGAAAAAAACCCAAAACCAAAACCAAAATCTTTTAGCTGGGCATGGTGGCTTACACCTTTAATCTCAGCATTTAGGAGGCAGAGGCAGACAAATCTCTGGGTTTGAGGCCAGCCTGGTTTATGAAGTGAGTTTCAGGACAGCCAGGGTGACACAGAGAAACCCTGTCTCAAAAAACCAAAATTTTAATTATATTTATTTATTTGGGGGGGGATGCCCTGGTGGGGGGGATGCCATGGTTGGGGGATGCCGTGGGGGAGGATGTCATGGTGCCGTGGTGTACATGTGAGGTCAAAGGACAGTCTGTAGAAATCAGCTCTCTCCTTCCACCGTGTGGATGCCGAGACCAAACTCTGGCCATCTGCATGTTGCTTCTTAGAGGTTTCTATCCAATACCTAGCCTTTTGTTCAGTCCACAGATTTTTTTATTTTTATTTTTATTTTTTAGAAAGTTCCCCGAGGTTCTGGAGGCCTAAGGGGTCTGGCACTGTGACTCCTATAGGACCCCTCCCATCTTGATCCAGCCTCAACGTCACCCTGGCTTCTGGGTGTTCTTCACCACTGCTTCCGGAAAGTTTCTCAGAAGTTTCTGGTTTCCACCATGCCGTGGTGTTGGCTGACCGGGAATAATTCCCCTGCCTCATGCCCTGTGTTTCCTCTTCAGGAAACTCTCCACCTTCAACTCGTACATGACGCTGCATGGCTATGACGTGGAGCAGATTTGGAGGGCCATTGAGGACGTCATCATCAAGACGCTCATCTCGGCTCACCCGGTCATTAAACATAACTACCACACCTGCTTCCCCAGCCACACGCTCATCAGCGCCTGCTTTGAAATTCTCGGTTTTGACATCTTGTTGGACCGCAAACTCAAGCCCTGGCTGCTCGAGGTAAGGAAGTTAGGGGTGTCCCAGTTACTGGGGGACATCAGCTTTGGGGACTCTGCCTCCCTAGCTCACCTGTATTGTTTCCATCAACTTCCCCGGCCTCTCCTTTCCATGGTGCTTGCTGCTCCGGGGGCCGTGACGCTTAGCTTGAGAAGTGGCCACCAGAGGGGGGTAGATGGCTGGGAATTGGAGAATTCCTTGCGCCTCCTTGAGGTCCAGCCAGATTTACAACTGGCCCCAGTCTCAGGCACAGAGTGACTGTAGTGACCACTCTGCTTCCTGTGTTTCCCACAAAGAGGCTGCTCCTTCTCAAAACTTGGTTGCCAGTGATTCAAGTGGGAGCAGCTTGTCCTGGCTCTCGGGGACCTGAGCTACCCAGGTCCAGACACCGGTGTAGGGAATTCTGTTGTCACAGAGTGGGGAAGCCCAACCCCATGCTGCGGGGAGGAAGAGGAAGAGATTTCTGAACCACTTCACCTCCCGGTTAGATTGGTCCTCCGGAGGCTTCTTAGGCAGCCCCTCAACATGCACCAGGAACGAGGATCTGGAGTTTTAGCTGGAACACCAGGGACCCTGACCTCCCTTACACGCAACGCTTATTCTCAGGTTCATGAAGGGGGCACTGTTTGGTGCTCCCACCCAAAGACAGAATGAGCGGCGGCTGCAGCAGCAGCAAGCCTCCAGAAGCTGCTGGAAACCCACAAATGTCACACAAACGTAAATGAGCAGTGCTGACTTTTCTGTGGGCGCGAACGAGGCTTCTTGCCTTCTTCAGCTGTCTCTCCTTCAACCCCGCCCGGCTTCCAGAAAGAATCACTCTGCTTCCAAACCTTGAGTCGGCCTCTGTATTTTCCTCTGTGTGTCTCTTTTCCTCTCCCTCATTTTCTGTGCCCCCCCCCCTTTCTTTCCTCACTGTGTTAGCCCCGTCTGGCCTGGAACTCACAAAGCTCCGCCTGCCTCTGCCTTCCTAGTGCCGGGATTAAAGCGCTTACCACTTCTGGTGTTCTTTTCTCTCTTTCCTCTCCCTCTCTTCTACCCCCGCTTTTCCTTTTTCCTTTTTCAGACAGGGTTTCTCTGTGTAGCCCTGGCTGTTCTGGAACTCGCTCTGTAGACCAGGCTGGCCTTGAACTCACAGAGATCCGCCTGCCTCTGCCTCCCGAGTGCTGGGATTAAAGGCGTGTGCCACCACTGCCCAGCCCACCTCTCTCTCTTCCCTCCCCCATTCCTCCCAACCTTCCTTCTTTCCCACCTTTTGTTTTTATTCGCTTGTTTGTTTGAAATAGGGCGCCATTTTATAGTACAGCTATTCTGGAACTTATTGGATTGCCTAGGTTGGCCTCAAACTTGTGACAACTCTCTGGCCTCCGCCTCCCCGGGGGCTCACAGGTATGAGGCACTCAATCCCGTCACTCTAGACCTCTTCCTCCCCTTCTGCTCTGTGGAGAGCACAGCACACGTGACAGTGGATCTGTCGAGAGGGGAGAAAGGACTGAAATGAGACCCGGGGACAGTGGTGGTGAGGCCTTTAATCCCAGCACTCAGGAAGCTGAGGCAGGAGCATCTCTGTGAGTTCCAGGTCAGCCTGGTCTATAAAGTGAGTTCCAGGCCAGCTAAGGCAATATATAGAGACCCTGTTTCAAAACCGAACAAACAGAATCCCACCTGGTTACACTAGAGGGAATTCTTTTTTTGTTTGGTTTGGTTTGGTTTGGTTCAGTTTTTCGAGACAGGGTTTCTCCATATAGTTTTGGTGCCTGTCCTGGATCTCACTCTGTAGACCAGGCTGGCCTCGAACTCACAGAGAGATCCGCCTGCCTCTGCCTCCCAAGTGCTGGCATTAAAGATGTGTGCCACCACTGCCTGGCCACTAGAGGGACCTCTACTTCCTGCTCTCCCTGCTCTCTTCACAGTGGCTCCAGTGTAGGCCCCGGCCGCCAGGACTGTGAGGGGGGCCTCGGCAGTACCTGGAGGCGCCATCTTGGCCTCACCTCTGCTTTCACCCTGGTCCCCCCCAGCCCCAACCGCTGCCCTGTCTTCTCAGGTCAACCATTCTCCAAGCTTCTCCACTGACTCCAAGTTGGATAAAGAGGTGAAAGACAGTCTGCTCTACGACGCCTTGGTCCTCATCAACCTGGGGAGCTGTGACAAAAAGAAAGTCTTGGAGGAGGAGAGGCAGCGGGGGCGGTTCTTACAGCAGTGTCCTTCTCGGGAGATGAGGTACAGCCGTGCCCCTGGCCCCAGGCAGCCGCTCTCCTACTGCCCTGCCCTCAGCAGGACTGGCTGTCCTGGTCCCAGACAGGGTGACTGACGTCTACCGGTTACGTGGCCTTTCTGTCGCTCCTTAAGCCTTGGTCTGTGAAGTGGAACTATGTAGACATAAGTTATGAGGGGACTGAAGGGCATTGGCACGTGAAGCCTCACCGCAGTGCCTGGCACCGTAGTTTGGTCGAAGTTAAGGTTCTTGACTGTTGGGGCAGTGAGATGGCTCAGTGTGGAAGGGCACTTGCAGTCAGCCTGGAGGCCACATGGTGGAAGGGGCGAGCGACACTCACAAGCTGGCCTTTGGCCTCCATGCGCCCTCTGTGGTGTACATACACATATGCATGCACACACACTAAATAGATATTTAAAAATGATTCCTAATTGTATCTTATTGTGAAAGCACTTAACTAGCAAGCCTGAGGTCTGGGAGAGAGAGGGAGAGAGAGAGAGAGAGAGAGAGAGAGAGAGAGAGAGAGAGAGAGAGAGAGAGAGAACTTGAATCTGACCTGGAATTGGTAGGAAGAAATACTGGGCTCAAACCCAGGGCCTTACATATTACATATGGTAGGCAAACACTCAGTCACTGAGCTACATACGTTCCCTGGCCTTCTTGTTATTGCAGTCCCCTTTTTTTTTTTTTTTTTTTTTTGAGACAGGGTTTCTGTTGTAGTGGTTAGCTTGCGTGCATGTGTGTGTGTGTGTGTGTGTGTGTGTGTGTGCGCGCGCATGTGCAGTGGCCAGAGAAGGACATCGGGTATCCTGTCTATCTCATTCCTTTGAGACAGGGCCCCTTACCGTCTCTGGAGCCACACTGGTGTTTAGCAAGCTCCAGTGACCCTCCTGTCTCCACCCACTTCAGCGGCAGGGTTGCATGCTGGTTGTATGCATGCATGTTGTCTGCATGCTGGTGTCGGCTTGGCCACGCCCAGGGTCCTGTGCAGGTTTGGGGGTCTGACTAAGGCCCTCAGCTTACACACCATCTCTCCAGCGGCCCCTGTCCTTGCTTGTTTGTTGTTTGGATACGTTCTTTTGTTTGTTTCTGCTTCTTGTTTTGTTTTTTGAGGCTTCCAAAGAACCCTATATAGAAAGCTGTTTTATGATGGAGAATTTAACAATTTGAACAGTTCTACTAAGACTGTTTCTTTGTTCCTGGAAACTGGAGATTAAAATGGACACATACAATTATATGAAATAAATTGATTAATATCATGTGAGGATTTAGATATTACCAATAGAAGAAACAAATTCTTCTGTTTTCACTGGAAAGCAGTTCTGTCGACTCTCCCTGTTCTGTGCTGACAGGAGTTGGCGCTCTGGCCTCCCCTGGGGCAGCATTAGCACATAAAGAACTAGGTCTTCCTCCTGAGCCCATTCAAGGTGGGGCCGTGTTGCTTCTGGGTCTCCACCAACCCTCTCCTGAGCCTAGAACAATACACTTCACCCACGCTCACCCACCACACTGTTTCTCTGGCGCTTCAATGCCTGCTCTGTGTGCCCGGCGGCGGAAAGGAGGTTGAGTTCGGTGCCGTGTGGTTCTGTCCTGGGAGCCGAGGACACCACGGTTCCTGTCAGGAGACTGACATGGATAAGTTTGACTCACTGGTGACAGACAGCTCTAAACTCCAGCTGTCCCTGATGCTCTCAGGAAGAAGGTGTTAGCTGTCCCATGGAAGGCCTGGTGGTTCTTGATGTCCCTGCTGCGCAGGAAGCTCATCCTGCTAACCCTACCTGATCTCCTCCTCCTAGGGGGTGGAGTGAGGAAGCCTGAGAGCACAGGCCTCATAAAGGCTCCTTAAATCCATCCAAGAAGGCCTGGAATTTAGCAAAGTACAAGCTGCTGTTCTCCAGAGAAGGGCAATGGGACCAGTGAGTGGGAAGGTGGCGATGGTGTGCCTACTCTGATTGTGCCAAGGGGGAAATGGGTTTTTACTAATAAAGGGAGAGACTCTGGCTGATCTGTCAAACCTTGTGAGCAGCTCCCTCGAGCATTGGGACGCTGGCTGTCCCAGGAGTGCCAGAACCCCCTTTCAGAAACATTCTTGCTTTTATTTAACAGTTACTGATCAACCACTATTATGTGCAGGGCACTAGATGACAGCCCAGCTTGGATATGTCCCTTCCGAGAAGACATAACTGTGGTCCTGTATTCTTCCATCCCAACAGGATGGAAGAGGTCAAGGGTTTCCAGGCAGCGCGGTTACAGAAAACAGAGGAATATGAGAAGAAACACAGTGGTGGGTTCCGGCTCATCTACCCTGGTCTGAATTTGGAGAAGTATGAGAAGTTTTTCCAGGACAATAGCTCCCTCTTCCAGAATACGATTGCTTCCAGAGCCCGAGAGCTGTATGCCCGGTAGGAAGGCTTCCTCTCAGGCTGAGATGGGCTGGGTGTTGTGCCTTGATCCGATCCTCTGGGTAGCCCAAGGTGGCAGGAAGAACTTCTTTGTCTGTTCCCCACCTTGCAGAGGACAGAAGAACATTCGGTCCGGGTCTCACAAAGACCAGGAACTGGAAGATTCCATAGTTGATCTTTAGTAGATCATTAAATAGATAAGCTACTGTTTCAGACGCTCACCCTTGAGACACATGTCCCACCCTACCTCCTCATAAGTGTGTTCTATATCCAGGCTATATGAAATCCAAGAGCTTGAAGGGAGACATCCTGTTAGGTCCGGTCCCCACCAAGCACCTCATTTATGAGAGGGGATGTCAGAGCAGAGACGAGGTCATATAGTGAGACGACACCAAAGGATTACCCTGTCTCCTGACTCCTGAGACCAAGTGATGCACTCTGGTACACCACCTTTGGTCCAGTCCCAGGATCCGCTGGCCAGAGAGCCCAGCATAGGAAGTGGCCCAGCATGGGAGCCCCTGGACTTAGCCTTCCTACCTAAGCCCTCTTTTCATGAAGGGGGAAGTGATTGCCCCCCTTTACCTGTGCCCCTTCCTTGAAAGGATGCTCTTCCCCAGTCTGGGGATGGCTGGAAGGATGCTGTTCCCCAGTCTGGGGATGGCTGGAAGGATGGCTCTTTCTTACCCACGCTATTCCTTCCCTTCAGCCACTTGTGCAGGAACACTGTTTCTCCATCCCATCTCTTTTTAAAATTATTATTATTTTACTTTATGTCTGTGGGTGTTTTTGCCTGATGTATGTCTGTGCAGTATGTGCATTCAGCGCCGGCAGAATCTAGAAAAAGGCATCAGGTCCCCTGGAACTGGAGTTACAGACAGTAGTGAGCTGCCATGTGGGTGCTGGGAATTGAACCCGGGTCCTCTGGAAGAGCAACAGGTTCTCTTAACCACTGAGCCACCTCTCCAGCCCTTCTCCATTCCATCTTATCTACCTGCCAAGTAGAATGCTCGCTCCCTAGCCCATGACACTCACCTGTCCTTCAATCAACAGGCAACTGATCCAGGAGCTGAGGCAAAAACAGGAAAAGAAAACGTTCCTAAAGAAAGAGAAGAGGGCAGAGATGCAGGGCGAGTCTCCGGGTGAGCAGGCAAGAGACAAGACTGTGAAACCCTGGCAACAGACACAGCAACCGAAATGCAAGACAGCCACCCATCCAAAACAAGTAAACTCAGATGGGGGTGGGGTGTGTATAACCAGCACCCTGCCCCAGCTTGGGCCGATCCGAGGGAGGGTGCCACGGAGGCCTCTGCTCCGAGCCCAGACTCACTGATGGGCTGCCCAAGGGCTGAACTACAAGGAAGGGGCCTAGAAGGCACGCAGACCTGGTGTCTGTTAGAGGATCCCTCCATCCTGATAGCAGAGGATGCTCACTCGACTGTCCTTCTTGCCTCTGGGAGTAAGAGCAGCCTGGCTGTGCTAGAGGCTGAGCCTGAAGCCACGTAGGGAGTGTGCTCCACAACTATGTATACTTACTGCCCTCAGCTCCGACATGGGTGGGACTGTCCCTCCAGCGGGCTCCTCAGGAGGGCTGCTGGGAGACAGCATCCTTAGAATACTTGATGGGGATGACTAAAAAGGCTTGGGACTTCCCACATGCTCACTCTGCACAGGGTGGCCCAGCCCCTGGTGATCTGCCTCACTGTCCTGGGATCTAAGTCTTTGGCTTCTACCTCCTCCACCTCCGGATCTCTTCTACCTCAGTGAAAAGACACGGGATGACTTTTCAGTACCTCTCCTTATCTTTCTTGGGTTTTGTTTTCTGTGGGGTTTGTTTGTTTGTTTGTTTAAGATAGGGGTCTCGTGTAGCTCAGGCTGACCCCAAACTTGTTTTGTAGCCCAAGATAATGTAAAACTGATTCTTCTCCTGCCTCCAGCTCCCGAGTGCTGGGATTACAGGTCATGAGGCATACACAAGGCCTGGTTAGTACAGTGCTGGAGAGCAAACCAAGGCTTCCTCGTGTGTACCTGGCTGCTAACTGAGTACTGTATTGCTAGCCTCCCTCTGATCTTTTATTTCTTCAAAATGTCTCACTCTCACTGTGGAGCCCTGCTGTCTGGCCTGGAACTCCCTCTGTAGACCATGCTATAACCTGTGGTAATCCCCCTGCTTCTGCCGCCGGAGTGCTGGGATTGCCGGAGTGTGCCACCATGCCTGATTATCTCCTTAGTCTTGAAGACTCGCCTGGAAGGACAGGGATAGAGCTGGGTGAGGGACGGTTTTCAACTTTGTTGGGGTCACAGACGCTTTACGAGTCTGCCGAAAGCTGTGGAATACCTTGCCATCAAGTATACACTGTGCTGTTGGAAATCTCAGTTTGAGGTGGCTCCTTCCCCCGGCCCAGCCATGAGCTTGGTAAGGGTTCCAGAACCCCGGGCTGAGAATTCCAGACCAGAACGTCTCTGGTGCCTCCTGCTTCCTTTCTTGTCGCCTCTCTTGCACCTTCTCTGGGGGTGCAGGTAAATCCAGTGGTGGACAGGACTGCGTTCCCCACGGCTGTGTGTCTGTCTGGTTTCCTCCTCCCAGTGCTATCACCCAGTGACTTTAGTATCCTGCACGCCTGGCTTGTTCTTGAACATCAGAGGCATAAGGAAAAACGACACTGCCGACAGCCTCCCTCAGAAGGGCTCCAAGAAGGAGGCCAGCCTCGCCCCCTGCAAGCCCGTGTCCGCAAGGCACTACAGTTCTGTCCCTGACCTGAGGAGTTCAAATCCCAACTGCCTGGGGACAGAGTTCCGCAAGTCCAATTCCAAAGTCAAGGAAGTGAAGTCAGCCTTTGCGATGAACGTCATCAGCAACACCGCCGCGGTAAGGAGAGAGCTGTGCTCTGGGAGGGAGTGCTAAGAGGCTTGCTTTCTGGGCCTTGCTCCATCCTAACTTGTAGCTCTTTGAGTACCCACTCATGCTACCGGAGTCTGTTTCTCTGGTTGTGAAGCCAGCTTGGCAGGATGGCGTTCCTGCTGGGAAGGTAAGCATGGGACGTCTCTGAGGAGACTGTCCTCCACCTTTTTTCCATACGCAGGTTGCTGTTCATTCTCACGGTTCTAGAAACTCAAGTGTGGGCGGGGCCAGGTTCCGTCTGAAGTTTCCGGAGAAAGGAAGTTCATCACTTCCTGATGGCTGCTGGCAAGCCTTGGTCAGTGACAACACTGATGGCCGATGCTGTCACATGACCGCTCCCTATATTTCTTCCACATACATTTCCATTTTTTTTTTTTTTTTAGGCAGGGTCTCGCTATGTAGCCCTGGCTGGCCTGGAACTCCTTTTGTAGACCAGGCTGGTCGAAAATTCTAGAGAACCACCTGTCTCTGCCTCCTAAGTGCTAGGATTAAAGGCGTGTGCCGCCACACCTACCGATACACTTAGTTTTATGAGCTGGGCGAGGGGAAGTGAGTCTGGAGTCCCAGCTCTCCAGAAGGCGGCTGAAGCAGGAGGGTTGCTCAAGCTCCAGAACTGAGGGCCAATCTGTTTCGTCTTAAATGCTTATTTTATTTTTTGTGTATGTGTGTGTGCCTGAATGTATGCATTTGCACCGCTTGAATATAGCGCCAGCAGGTCAGAAGAGAGCAATAGATCCCCTGGAACTGGAGTTACAGGAAGTTGTGAGCCGCCATGTGGGTGCTGGGAACTGAACCTGGGTCTTCTGCAAAAGCAGCCAGTGCTCTTAACTGCTGAGTCATCTCTCCAGGCCCCAGTCTATCCATATATATATATATATATATATATATATATATCTGCTGAATGTTTTCCTGTGTCCTGCCTGGCATTTGGTCAGGATAAATCTCTCTCACCCACCAGTCCCACAGCTGCTCAGACCCAAGTAAACACACAGAGGCTTATATTAGTTATAACTGCATAGCCATGGCTCAAACCTTTTGCTAGCTAGTTTTTATATCTTAAATTAGCCATCACTATTAGTCTATGTATCACCACATGTTCCGTGGCTTTTCCTGCATCCCATTGCATGTTGCTCCTTGTGCAGCTCGCTGGCATCCCCACCCCCACCCCCACCTTCTTCCTGTCTCTCTCTTTGAATTTCCTGCTGGCCTCTAAGCTGCCTTGCCATAGGCCTAACAGCTTTTTTTTTTAATCAACCAATCAGAGGAACACATATTCGAAGTGTACAGAAAGACATTCCCCATCACTTCCCCTTTTCTGTCTAAACAAAAGGAAAGTTTTAACTTTAGCCTATTAAAATTACATATAACAAAAGTTATCAAACAAGAATTACAGTTACAATATCTAGTCTATTTGTATTTTGTAAAATTAAAGAAAATATTCTATCATCTATCCTATATTTGTGAGTCTAAAGTTTCATATCTACCTTATCTCTTATCATAACCAAGGAAAACCATAATTATAACTATCTAGTCTTCAACTACATCAAAGACCTCAGAAGGATATAATACTACCTAAGTAAACAGGAAGAGCATTGTAAGCAACTTCCAAAAATCTAGAATGACAGAGACAGTTGGCTGTCTGGACAGTCACCCAAAGTTCTTCTGCAATGTTGGGGCATCCATTTTTCAGCCTACAGGCCTAGAGTCTCTCAGCTGCTTCTCTCTGTGTCCTGTAGAATACCTGGCAGTTTCCTCTGCAAAGCAGGAACCTGAAGGACCATCTCACCTTGTAAAGTTCAGTGGTCACCTTTCCATGGATCCTGCATGTCCAGTCGACACAACATTTTATCAAACAGTCCAGGCAAGAACAGTTTCTTGCCCAAATGGCTCTTTTTGCCAAGAAGATAAACTCCATATGGAATGTCTTCAGTGCCCATATTTCTCTTTGAAGTAAATCAATGCTGCCAGGAAAAGACGTGTCTCACTTCTTGTCTCTCTCTTTTAATTTCCTGCCTGCTTCTAAGCTGCCTTGCCATAGGCCAAACATCTTTATTTATCAACCAATCAGAGCAACGCATATTCGCAGTGTACAGAAAGACATTCCCCCATCAATATACAGCCAGGTGGTGGTGGCACATGCCTATAATTCCAGTGCTCAAAAGACAGAAGTGAGGGTTGGGGATTTAACTCAGTGGTAGAGGCCCTGGGTTCAGTCCTCAGTTCCGGGGGGGGGGGGGGCACAAAAAAAAGCTCTGGTGCCCTCTTCTGGTATGCAGGCATACATACAGGCAGAACACTGCATACATAATAAATAAATAAATATTTTGCCAGGCGGTGGTGGTGCACGCCTGTAATCCCAGCACTCGGGAGGCAGAGGCAGGTGGATCTCTGTGAGCTCGAGGCAAGCCTGGTCTACAGAGCTAGTCCAGGATAGGCTCCAAAGCTACAGAGAAACCCTGTCTCGAAAAACCAAAAAAAAAAAAAAAAGAAGAGAACAGATTTCTGAATTTGAGGCCAGCCTGGCCTACAGAGCAAGTTCCAGAGCTGCCAGGGCTACCCATAGAGACCCTGTCTCAAAAACCAAAAGAATATGTGTGTGTGTGTGTGTATAAATATCCACAATACAGAACAAGTATGTAAGTATGTAATCTTTATATAGTCCTCCATCCATGTTCATCGGTTCTACATCCACAGTTTCAATGATCAGCAGATCAAAAAAAAGTTTCAAAAAAGTTACATCGTTACCAAACATATAGACTTTATTTTTTAAATGCGTATGCACGTGTGTGTGTGTGTGTGTGTGTGTGTGTGTGTGTGACTGTGACTGTGAGTGTGCACTCCAGATAACAACCTTGAGTGTCACTCAGCAGGTGCCATCCACCTTGTTTATTTGGAACAGGAACTCTTATTGGCTTGGAACTCACCAAGTAGACTAGGCTAGCTGGCCCACATGCTCCAGAATCCTTCTGTCTGTGTCTCCTGTGAAGATTACAAACACAAGCTTTTTAAAAACAAAACAAGGGTTTGGAGAGATGGCTCAGCGGTTAAGAGCACTGGCTGCTCTTCCAGAGGTCCTGAGTTCAATTCCCAGCAACCACATGGTGGCTCCCAACCATCTGTAATGAGATCTGGTGCCCTCTTCTGGCCTGCAGGCATACATACTGTATACATAATAAGTAAATCTTTAAAAAAATAAAATAAAAACAAGCCAGGCGGTGGTAGCACACACCTTTAATCACAGCACTCCAGAGGCAGGCAGAGTTTGAGGCCAGCCTGGTCTACCTAGTCTACAGAGCTAGTTCTGGGACATCCAGGGCTACAATCTCTCTCTCTCTCTCTCTCTCTCTCTCTCTCTCTCTCTCTCTCTCTCTCTCTCTCTCCTCTCTCTCTCCCCCCCTCTTTCCCTCCCTCCCTCGGCATTTGTTTTTGAGGCAGGGTTTTGCTTGGCTCTGGCTGGCCTCTCCCTCGGGGCGCCTCCTGCCTCTGTGTCCTGGATGCTCTTACTGAGTATAGGTGTGCGCCGCCAGGCCCACATCAGCATGCAGACTTTTCCCCTTGACGTCATTCCCTAAACAGTACAGAGTGACAGCTATTCATTTCCATTGTATTAGACATTAAATCTGTCTAGAGGTGATTAAATAAATTGTATGAGAGGCAGGTGTGGTGGCACACACCTGTCATCCCAGTATTAGAAAGGTGGAGACAGGGAGATCGGTGATTCAAAGGCATCCTTGGCTACATACCGCTCAGCCTGAGATCCACAAGACTTTGTCTCAAACAACAAAAAACCCCACAATGACGACGAAGGACTATTTGGCTGAAATGTGTAGGTGACGCATGAGCACTACATTCATTTTATATAACAGACTTGATGGTCCTTGGGTTTTGGTGTCCTTGGGATGGAGTGAGTGTCCCTGGACCAGTCCTCATTAGACACCAAGTGACAACTGCGTTTACAAGTCTTTTCCCACTACAGAACCAAGCTGAAGAAACAGCAGCAGTGAAATACCTGAGAGGATATTCAGCTGTCCAGTGTCTAGTTTTGATTTTTAGAAAACTTTAAACCGGGTGTGGTGGTGGATGTCTTTAATCCCAGCACTTGGGAGCCAGAGGCAGGTGGATCTCTGTGGATTCAAGGCCAGCCTGGTCTATAGAGTGAGTTCTAGGCGAGACAGGGCTATATAGTGAGACCCTGTCTCAAAAGCAACAACAAAAAATTTATACTCAAATCGCTTAAACCTAGAGGCAGACAGAGAGAAAGAATGGGGCTCCATGACGTTGGGTTTGGCAGAGATTGTGGGGTACAGTGGCAAAAACAACGTTAGACAAGCAAGACTTCGTCAAACTCAGAATCTCTCAGGAAGGCAACAATGAGGAGAGCGGAAAGCTGACCTGCAGGTGGAATCGCTCTGCAAACCATGCCTCTGATAATGGTTCTTTCCTCAGCTCTGGCTGCGGTAACCAAGCACCTTTGAGAGCTGTTAAGATGGCTCTGCAGGGGGCTGGAAAGATGGCTCAGTGGTTAAGAGCACTGACTGCTCTTCCAGAGGACCTGAGTTCAATTCCCAGCACCCACAGGCAGCTCACAGCTTTCTGTAACTCTTGTTCCAGGGGATCTGACTCCCTCACATAGGCATACATCTAGGCAAAACACCAATGTACATATAATAAAAATAAATAAATTATGGAGATATTGTATGCTAATGGAATAATGTTTGAGACATCCTAGAGCCAACTTTCTGTTTTGTTTTTTTGTTTTTGATTTTTGGTTTTTTGAGACAGAGTTTCCTCTGTGTAGTTTTGGTGCCTGTCTTGGATCTCGTTCTGAAGACTAAGCTGGCCTCGAACTCACAGAGATCCACCTGCCTCTGCCTCCTGAGTGCTGGGATTAAAGGCATCTGCCACCACACCCTGCCCAGAGTCAACTTTTTTTTAAGATTAATTTTTAAAAATTGTATGCATATGTGTATGTGCTTGTTTGCATGTGCACCGTGTGAGTCAGCTATGCACAGAGACCAGAAGAGGTCATTAGATCTTCTGGACCTGGAGCAGCCAGTGCTCTTAACCACTGGGCTGCCTCTCCAGCCCCTGAGGGTAGCTCTTAACTCACCACTCTGACCCTTTCTGCTGTCTCTTTCTAGAGGAGCTAGAAGGGAGCCCTCTGCCTCCTGCAATCTCATTCCAGGCTGTTTTCTCTTTCAGCCCTTAACATCTGTAGAAACGTCCCCAGAACCTACATCCCGGCTCTCCACCTCTCTCGAATCCCTGGCAAGCCTGAGCCTAACCAGCAGCCCTGACTGCAGCAGCCCTGAGAGTGTCCAGATGCTCTATAAGTACAAGCAGCAGCAGATCTTCCACAAGCTGACCCAGGAGAAAAGATCCAAACTTCCCACGTCTTCCAAACCCAAGAGTTTGGACCAGAAGTGGACCTTGCTAAAGAATGAAGTGAGGAGGCAGCATCTGATGTCAGAGATCATGCAGAAGGTTCAGATGAAGAAGAAACGCTACTTGTTTCCGGCTCCCAAGTCACGTGAGTGCTGGAGTGGGCCGCAAGCTTAAGCATGACGGTCAGCTTTCTATCACTGTGACAAAATGACTCACGTCGTTAACTTCTAGAGAGAATAGGGTTTTTTTAGGCTCATGGCTTTCAGAGTTGAGTTGGTGACGAGGCAGACCTATTGCTTTCTGGACGTGAGAGCGTCTGCACAGCCGTGGCGGGGAGGCTATGGTGAACGAAACTCACTTCATGGCCAGCCACCGCAGGTTCCATTTTCTCTCAGGAACTTCAGGTGACAAAACCTTAACTTCGGGCCTCTGGGGGACATTCAACATCCAAACTCTTAGCACTGGGGCCGGGTCTGGTGGCACATGCCTGAAACTCAGCAATCAGGAGGTTGAGACAAGAGGATCATGAGTTTGCAGCTAGCCTGAGTGACACAACAAGGCACTTTCTCAAGCAGATGAATAAGGGCCAGCACCCATATTGGACAACTCACAACTGTGTAACTCCAGCACCAGGATAGCCAAAACCCTCTTCTGGCCTCCGTGTGCATCAGTACCCATGTGGTTGACATATAGATGTGTAGGCACATACACATCATAAAAACAATTAGGTTTATTTTAAATAATTTTCTTTATTGATTTTACATGTATGGGTGTTTTGTCTACATATATACCTGCATACCATGTTTGTGCCAGATGCCCTTGGGGACCAGAAAAGGGAGTTGGATTCCCTGGGATAGGTATGAGAGACAGCTGCAAGCCACTGTACGGGTGCTGGGATTTGAACCCGGGTCCTCTGGAAGAGCAACCAATGTCTTAAATGTTGGCTTATCTCTCTAGTCCCAACAAATATTTTCTTCTTTGGGACAGAGTTTCTCTGTGTAGCCTTGGCTGTCCTGGAACTCGCTCTATAGACCAGGCTGGCCCCAAACTCACAGAGATCCTCCTACCTCTGCCTCCCTAGTGCTGAGATTAAAGGCCTCTGCCACCACTGCCCAGCATTAAAATTTTTTAAAAGATAAATAAAAATGAACAAGGCTGGTAAGATGGCTCAGCAGATAAAAGGGCGTTTGCCCTTGACCCTGCTGGCCTGAAGTTGATCACTGGAACCTATGTGAAGGTGAGTGGAAAGAACTGACTCCACAAAATTGTTCTCTGACCTCCACATGTGTGTTGTGGTACACCGACCCACACATATGCACACATACACAATAATAATAAAAATTTTAATTACAAAACTAAAGGTTGGAGAGATGACGGAGCAGTTAAGACACTGCTGCTCTTGACCCGGGTTCGATTCCCAGCACCCACATGGCTGCTCACAGCTGTCTATAACTCCAGTTCCAGGGAACCTGATGCCCTCTTCTGGTCCCCATGGGCATCAGGCACACATGTGATGCACAGACAGACACATAGGCAAAACACCATATACACAAAAAATAAATAAATAAAAATAATTACCAAAAAAAATCACAAAACTAACTATGACAAGAAAATTCAAACTATAAAGCATTAGAGAAGAACCAGTTGAAAGAAGCCCCAGATTTTGGGATTCCCAGATCAAGAGAAGGGTTAGACTCTTCTCTCTGTCTCATGATGGAGACATGGCCCATGTGCTTAAAGAGTCTCTATCCCCATTGAGCAAAAGAGTTACTAGAATGCTGGCTGATATTCAACTTTCCCAGCTCTTGTTCACACGAGACCCATCGTCTGGGCCAATCTTGGGCCACAGAAACTGCGCGAAAGAAAGAGCAACGGCTGGCTGTAAACGGAAGTTCCTGTCCTGCCAGCAACTCCCCAATATTTTATTCCAAAACCACGAGCCAGGTTGGGGTCGTGGGAGCCTCGTGGGAGGTGGCCTTTGTGAGGAGTTTGTGCTGACTGATGATGCCAATGACTTTGCCTTTCCAGAAAACCCGTCCTTGTCCAAGGACTGCTGCCTCCACAGCCACGGCTTCGGCAGGAAGAAAGAGATGGATGTCTCCTCCGTCCTCCTCCTGCAGGGTTCTCACGGCCATACTGAACCTCTGAATGACCTTCTGGTAGTTGCCACTCAGGCCCGTCTGGACCCTCGGCCTAGCAGAAACCATTCTATTCCTACAAGGGACCCAGATACTACAAGGGACCCGGGTACTACAAGGGACCCGAAGCACACTGCCATTGCCTGATCTCTGGTCAGAAGGATGTGAGAGCTCAGGTAGGTGCCTGCTCTTCTTCCCTGGATAGGTTGGTGCACTGTCGGCTCCCCTCTTGATCTTTCTGGGGTGTTGAGTGTATAGGAGGGTGGACGTATTGATGAAGACCTGTAGGTAAGTCAGCAGCTGAGACTGTCCTCACATTGTGACCGTTGCTTGGCCTGTTTCTATGGTGCTGGGTCACCTCCACCACCACGAGGTGCACTTGGCATGACTGTCATCACAGGCTTGCCCTGTGATGAGAAGGGAAGAGACGGAATGACAGGGTGGAGGGACCTGGTGGGTACCGCTGTGTGGAAGGGCCAGGGGGACCATAAGGAGTGCTTTTTCAAAGCCTAGGGGCCTCTGAAGGAAGATCATGTACCAAAACCCATGAGAAGAGACTGGTGCTGCTCAGAGGTCCACCATCACCCTCACTCCTGCCACAGAAACCAGACTGTTACCAGATGTGCTGACCTGGCCCCCTGGCTACCAGCATCTCACACTGTGAAGGGCCTTGAGGAATCGTAGCCCACAGGCATGGCTGTTTGTGAAATATCTGTTCTAGAGCCCGTGAGATGGCCCAGCAGACGAAAGGGGTCTGCTGCCTAGCCCGATGGCCTGAGTTCGATCCCTGGGACCCAGGTGGTGGAAGGAGGGCACTGGCTCCTGCCAGTTGTCCTCTGACCTCCACAAACATGCCCTCCACATTAACGTAACAAAAATTTTAATGCGCATCTCAGCACAGATAGTGGCGTGTGCCTATATTCCAAGTACTTCACGGTGCTGAGGCATAAAGATCAGCTCCATGAGCAAGCGAGGATGGACGCAGCAAGACCCTCTAAAAGGAATTTTAAAACGCAGCTGGGCAGCCAGGTGTTGGTCGTGTAGACTTGTAATCCTGGCACTTGGGAAGCAAGAGGCAGGAGGATCACCACAAGTTCAAAGCCAGCTTGGTTTACATAACAAGTTTCAGCCCAGCCAGGGCTACAGAGTGAAACCCCGTTTCATAGAAAAACAGGCCTGGTAGTTTACAGCTGCGACTCATGCGTCAGGGAGGCAGGACAGATAGGGAGTTCAGGAAGTCCAAGGACTTTGAGACCAGCCCGGACTATGTGAGACTCTGTCTCAAAAAAAGAAGAAAGTGGGAGTCACAGATTCTTCTGAAAGCTTTTACTCAGGCCCAGTGAGGGGGCTTGTTTGTTTGTTTGTTTGGTTTTTTTGAGACAGGGTTTCTCTGAGTAGTCTTGGCTATCCTTGAACTCACTCTGTAGACCAGGCTACATGTGCCACCACCACCCAGCCCCAAAATTTTTTTAAAAAGAGTTCATTTTTATTATTTAGTTTTTTTAGGGCTGGAGAGGTGGCTCAGCATTTTAGAGCACTGGCTGCTCTTCCAGAGGTCCTGAGTTCAAGTCCCAGCACCCACATGGTGGCTCACAACCATCTGTAATGAGATCTGGCGCCCTCTTCTGGCAAGCAGACATACACGCAGGCAGAACACTATATACATAATAAATAAATAAATCTTTAAATTTTTTTTCAATCTTTATGTGTAGGGGTGTTTTGTCTGCATGTATGTCTGTGCACAATGTGCATGCAGCACTCCTGGAGGCCAGAAGAGGGCATCAGATCCTTTGGAACTGGGAATTACAGATAGTTATGAGCTACTATATGGGTGCTGGGAACTGAACTCAGGTCCTCTGAAAGAGTAGGTAGCCAGTGCTCTTAACTGGTGAACCATCTCTTCATGTCTCTTTTATTAATTTTAATTATGTGTATGTGTTCGTATGTGGATGTGTGCATGTGAGTACATGTGCCCATAAAGGCCAGAGGCATTGCATCCCCTAGGGTTGGAGCTATAGGCGGTAGTGAGCCATTCCATGCCCATGTGGATGCTGGAAATCAAAGTTCAGTCCTCTGGAAAAACAATGAGCACTCGTAACCACGGAGCTATCTTTCTAGCCGAAGAGAACTTTTAGTTAATCAGGTTGTCAGTATGGATGGATAGGGGTTGGAGATGCAGCTCTGATGAAGAACGCTTGCCTAGAATAATGCATGAGGACCTAAGTTCTGCCCCCAGTACCTCAGACAATAATGATGATAGAAACAATAATAAAAATCAGAAGCCACAATACACACACACACACACACACACACACACACACACACACACGCACACACACACAAGAGGGAGGGGGTTACACTGGGACAACATGATAGCCAAGTGTGGTTGGTAGCTCAACACTGCTGAGACTGAGGCAGACAGATCATCTCAGGTTAAGCCAGTCTAGGATACGGCTTTTTCTCAACAAAAGAAACAAGGAAAACAAAAGAAAAAACAATGCAAACAAAACTGTGAAGAGAGCGACGGTAAAGTCCTTCCTGCATGGACTAGAGAATCAAACTTTGCACCTTCACAGAAAAGGTTGAGCATAGCATTGTTGGTCCCCCTAACAGGTCCGTGATTCCCTGAGAACACCAACTGTCGCCACCATTGACCAGAGCCCTTCTTCCTTAGGCATCTCTTCTGTCTATCTAAAGAGTTTCTCTTGATTCTCTTTAAAGATTTATGTATTTAAGTCAGATGTGGTGGCGCACTCCTTTAACCCCAGCCCTCGGAAGGCAGAGGCAGGTGGATCTCTGTGGGTTCCAGGCCAGCTAGGGCTATGTAAGGATTTGTGTATTTTTTTAAATGTGTACAAGTGTTTTGCCTGCATTTATGTATGTGCACCATGTGCGTGTCTGGCGCTCATGGAGGCCAGAAGAGGGCATTGGGTCCCCTGGAACTGGAGTTACAGATGCTTGTGAGCTGCCGTGTGGGCGCTGGGAACGGATCAAGAGCAAGAGAGGCAGGTGCTCATAACCGCTGAGCCATCTCTTCAGTCCCTTATTTTTATTTTTAACTGTGTGTATATGTGGGGTATCTGTGTGGGGTTTGTGCCCGTGAGGGCAGTACCCTCAGAGCCAGAAGACAGTATCTGATGCCCTGGAGCCAGAGTTACAAGCGGCTGTGGGCGGATGTACAATGTGGGTGTTGGGAACCAAACTCAAGTCCTCTCTAAGAGTAGTTAGTACATGGTCTTAGCTGCTGGCCCTCGCTACTCCCTCTTCCTTCCTTCCTTCCTTCCTCCCTCCCTCCCTCCCTCCCTTCCTTCCTTCCTTCCTTTTTCTTCTCTCCTCCTCTCCTCCCTCTCCCCCCCTCCTCCCCTCAGTCTAGCTTAGTTCTTGGGAGCTTCCTGCCTCAGCCTTTCACTTCTTCAGATTATAGTGTAAGCTACCATTTCTGCTTTGAGTCAAATATTTCTGATGCCCAAGTCCCAAGAGCTATACCAACCATTTTCAGATGTCTTTTCCATCATTATTCTTGAGTCATAACTGAGGTGTAACCAATGACTCTCCAGTGAAGGCCTTTCCTCAGGAGGCCGGGAGAGCAAAGGCTGAGAGGGCTCAGAGAATATTAGGAGGGGTGGCCAGATGGCAGATCTGGCCCTCTGCTTTCAGGACAAATAATGGATTCTAAAAATTGTTCCTGGATAACGCAGACCACAATAACTGACAAATAAGAAAGCAAGTTCACAAAAGATGAGTTACAGTCATCGGACCATACAGGGTGATTAAAACATGGAGAGGCCTGCTGGAAGAAAGGGCTTTTTCATGATAACTGATGGCTGAGGGATGGGGGAGTCGCACACAGGCCATGATCAAGGCTTGGTTCAGTAAATATAATAACAATTTACTTTCCACATCACGTGGCAAATACGTACGCTATAGCTCCTGGAATCCTCGTGGCGGTATTATGAGGTTGGTAAGGCAGATGTTATTGAGCCACGATTTGTAGGTAAAGAAAATCAAGGTTTGAGGATGTCAAGTGGCTTGCCCTGCCTCACTCAAGTGGTGGACTCAGGACAGATACAGCATTTTTTTCTCCTTTACCACGCTGCTATGAACTTGAAGCCTGTCCTGACCATGAGAGAAAGGGAGTCCTGGAAGGTTCTTCCATCTGTCTGCAGAAGTCACCACAGGCTCATGGCTCTTCCTCTGGATGCACATAATATAAGGAATGGATGGGTCACTGGGGCCAGATGTGGATCTGTGTAATGGCACTGATCTCGGGGTTGTAGAACCCAGTGAGTAAGGTCGAAAGGATGATTAAAGCTTGACCAGGTGGGTGGTCTCGATGATGGTGACCATGGTGACCTTGGTTGTATGCTCTTGCTGTGGGTTAGACAAAGACACCTTTACTTTTAGTGCTATAAAAGCTGTTCTCAGTCCTCTCAGATGTTCCCTTTGCAAAAGGGGAAACCAAGGCAGAGAAATTAAGTAACTACTATCCAAAAGCATGCTGCCTCTGCCTCTTCTTTCTGCCTCTTAAAAAAAAATTAGTGTTATTATTTCAAAATTTGTTTTGGGCAAAATCACACTAGTCTCAAGCTCCCCCATCCTGCTACCTCCCCTACTCAAGTTCTGGGATTACAAGCCTGTGCCCTGACAGCCAACTCTTGGCACACAGCTTCTCTTTTGTAATTTTCTTTCTTTCTTTCTTTCTTTCTTTCTTTCTTTCTTTCTTTCTTTCTTTCTTTCTTTCTTTCTTTCTTTCTTTCTTTCTTCCTTCCTTCCTTCCTTCCTTCCTTCCTTCCTTCCTTCCTTCCTTCTTTTCTTTTCTTTTCTTTTTGATTTTTCGAGACAAGGTTTCTTTGTGTAGCCCTGGCTGGCCTAGAACTACCTCTGTAGACCAGGCTGGCCTCAAACTCAGAGATCTGCCTGCCTCTGCCTCCCAAGTACTGGGATTAAAGGCGTGTGCCACCACTGCCCTGCCATATTTTTTATTAAAATATTTTTTCATACAATATATTTTGAGCATGTTTCCCCTCCCTCAACTCCTCCCAGATCTTCCCAACCTCTCTCCCCACCCAACTTTGTTCTTTCTCTCTTTAAAAAAACAAACAAAAAACGTCAAGAAACAAGAAACAACACGCCTTTAATCCCAGTGCTCGGGAAGCAGAGTCAGGCAGATCCCTGAGTTCGAGGCCAGCTTGGTCTACAGAGTGAGTTCCAGGACAGCTAGGACTGTTACGCAGAGAAACCCTGTCTCCAAAACAAAACAAACAAGAAACAAAGCATGCCTTTAATCCCAGCACTCGGAAGGCAGAGGCAGGCGAATCTCTGTGAGTTCGAGGCCAGCCTGGTCTCCAAAGCGAGTTCCAGGAAAGGTGCAAAGATACACAAAGAAACCCTGTCTCGGAAAACAAAAACAAAAACAAAACAAAACAGCAATTTTAAAATCCTCACAAAAATGAAAATCAAAACAGAGAAAAGACCAGTAAGACAAAAAAAAGTGCCAAAACAAAGCAAAATGAAACAAAAAACAAAGCAAAATGAAACAAAAAAACAAAGCAAAATGAAACAAAAAACAAAGCAAAATGGAACGGAAAGTCCACAAAACACCGAGTTTGTCTTACGTTGACCAACTGCCTGAGCATTGAGCCTGCCAGGAGTGTGGTTGATCTACCCAGGGACAGGACACTGCATTGGAAGGCCAGCTTCTGGGTCAAGGCAGGGCCTGGTCAGGGGTGGGGCCTGGTCAGGGACGGGGCCAGGTCAGGGACGGGGCCAGGTCAGGGGTGGGGCCTGGTCAGGG